AACAATTTTTCTGAGAGGCGCTCTTGCTGAAGGTGAACCTAAGTTGGGCTGAAAAGCTGGGCATGGATTCCGCACATGTCTAGCAGACGGGCAGCGTTGAAACCCGTCCAACCGTCACAGGGAGACGTTGAAGAGGGCGTTTTGAAAAGTGACAACCTCGACTTAAGCCGTGCCTTGCTGTTGTCGAAGTAATAAACAGTGGTAACTTTACTTGGTTCGTTTTGGCCAAGTACTTAAATTGAGCTGCTGTGTGACACAGGTTCCGACTTTCCAAGCGACCCTATATTAGCTTTCCCCTTTATTGGACTGCGTTGCTAAACCCACGGCTAACAAATCATAGGGAGTTTCAAGCAGCAGGTCACGATGGCGCTTCCGCTTGGTGCAAACATACGGGTCGGTTTAGCACGTCTGTTCTCGAGCGTGGCTGATTATCTCTTTAGATTGTACTCTGGAGCTGATGCAAAAGCAACGGAATATGCGACTATGGTCCTTCAGAGTTTCACTTGAGAGGGCTTGACGACTTGCCATGCTCATATGGTAGACATTTGAATTATACCTTTTATGGATGTGCAAGTTTTGTGGAGATTAAGTAGTTGAGCACCATCCTACATGTGCTCCGCCCGGCGATCCAGCTCGAGAGCCTCACCTGTGGCTAGACGGCTTCCAAGGCTTTTTGCTCCGATAAAGTGAGCGGCAAAGAGGGAAGCATTATGAGCGACTCATCTGAATGCGTTGTGAGATGGCAATGATATGCCGTCCATTCAAACCGCTTTGACGCCCTTGAGCCGCATTTGATAGAGCAGCGGAGAGCATTATCAACCAGAGATAAGCCTCAATAAGGATGCAACTCGCCCGTCTCCGCAAACCCGCCACGTTGAAAGATGGAATCAAAACAAGTTGGACAGGCTTCCGGAACCCACAATTGGTTCAAGCTGTTGATCCTGTCCTTGAAAGGGACTGCCATCGAATCGCCCAGTGCCTCGAAGTCCTATTTCCACCATCGCCAATGACTGTGGCGGGTTGACCAGCACAACCAGGTTGGCTGTAGGAGCTAAAGTTTGCTTTGAAGAAGCACAACTACTGAGGACGGCTAAGCGAATTGAGCAATCGGAGTGATCAAACGTCCTTCGAGTGAGCGCAGAAGATCAAACAATAGAAGCCGTTCACCGTTGCGATATGCCATCATGCATCGTTATCTACTTCGACCGTTCAGAATTGGGAAGGGTTTTTTTGATGCACCAAGCACAGGAGGAGGCAGAGCCCGTTCGCATTCGGCTTGTTGCCGCTCGAATCAAGCCAAAAGCATGGCTAATCGAGGTTTGGCGGATTAAGACCCGTTGATGCTTGCTTGAGCTCTAACCATCCACAAAGTGCAAGGGCTACGAATGGATAAAGCAATCATGAATTTGCACTGTAGCATATGGGAGCCTAGCCACGCGTATGTGGCACTTAACATCGTCCGAAAATATGCCGCGGTGGCTTCACTTGACCTCATGATGGAGTCTCTCAACATCACGTCACCGCATGCGAGTGGAGAGTACGATCGCCTCTTTTCCCCGGTTAGACCTCCTAAAGCGCAAGAGTCCGAGCGCTTACTACAATGCCAAATGGCTGCAGAAGGTGTTCTAGCTGTTACTCCCTCTCGAGACGAGGACGGGTTACGTAGCTATTTAATATATGGCTTCAATCAGCTCGCCGCTGATCCACAAACGCCGCTCAATTTGAGTTGTTGGTGGGAGATTGGTAGATTTCGTTAATCGTAGTCAGCGAAATTACTGTGTGTAAAAGTTGGGCCTGAGTGGAATTTGGACCAGTAGCGCCTGTTGAAATCACACGCTCATGCTTGGTACTACGAGGGATACAATCACCATCATACATGTACACAAGCGCTTCACAAAAGAAGCACCCTAACTCTCACCAAGCATCTTTTAGTATGAATATCCACCACAATACAATTTTCAAAGTCATAGCTAGCACTCGGAATCAGCTAGCCTATCACGGGTTCCGACCATGCCTACTAATCCACGGCCTATATGAGTCCAAGTTCCGTCCGATCAAAGCTCCTCCAACATTTATCCACTCTCGATAGAACCAATTTGGCACACTTTGTCTCAATTTCTCTGATCCGTCAATATTCAATCTAACGGCTACCTCAATTTGGTACACTCGGCTTTCGGACACTTTCATCCTAGACCATCGATCCTCGATCCAACGGTAAATCTAAATTGGTACAAGTCGAACCAAATCGGGACAAACCCGCGACGCGTATCCTACCGTCGGTATTAGCGATATGATTTGACTCCGAACTTGCGAATCGTACCGTCGACATCCGACCTTAAACCACGATCGACCGGCTACAAATCAGCCTAAGATACAGTGCGTTACTAGCCTAGTACTTGCGCCTAACCCACACATTTTGGCCGTCAATCAATTTTGATCTCAACACTCCCACACGGACAAATGTCCCACTCAACCTCGCCACTTCTACCCGCTCGCTTCTTAGACTTTGGTGTCACCCAACCTGTCTCGCTTCCCCAAATTTTCCTGGTGCCGCACGTGCCCTCTCCGAATACCGTTTGCCGCTTGTCTCCGGCAACATCACCTTTCCGCTCTCATCCTTGTCCAACTTTTACTCGATCCGTGCTCCCACGCCTTCCGCTGCGGTTGCTCCCACCGCTTCCGTTGCTGCTCCCACGGCTTTCGTTGCGCCGTGCTTCTCCATTTTCGTCACCGTCGGGGTCTTCGTCTCCCCGACGCTCACATCCACCAGTTGGGAGTCTTTCACCCCGTCGTCCGACTCATCGTCCGACTCAAGGTCAACCTCAATGAAGTTGACCGGCTTCACCTCCACTTGCTTCTTCTCCACTTTCACCTGCGGCTTCGGTGCCGCCTTTCCAAACCAACGCTCCGTCTTGACCGGCCCCTTGACCGCCAAAAACGCTCTTGCCTTCTTCACCGTTGCAATCTCCCACAATCCCTTGTGTTGCACCGCCTCCATTCTCACCACACCTTCCTTCTCAGATAGGGCAATCCCCCTTTCAGAGGAGATCCTTTGCGCCCGCGTCCGTTGCTCGCTGCATTGCAAACAAGTTTGCCCTCGCTCGCGAAACGTGCCTGGAAACTTCATTCAAAGTCACCGTCCTCAAACCATTTGGCGTCTCATACTCTGGAACAACTCTCCCAATCCCAACCGCCGTCAAGGCTTCTCCTCCAAGCCCCTCAATCTTCTCCGCGCGCACAAGCCTCTCGTAGCTTGCAAATTGCCTCTTATCCGGCGTAATGTGTTGGGTGCTTTCGGAGTCAACAAGCTACACATCCGCCGGCACCCGCGCCTCTTTTCGCCATGCCGTAAACGCCACACCGGCAAAGTCCTTCCGGTCCTGGGCATGCAGCTGACGCACAATAATGAGGCGCGCATCCTGAAACGAACACAAAAGAAGCTGACGAAAGAGCTAATTAGACGGTACAGATTTGCGAGCGCTCGGGCTCGCAGCGTCTCTCTCGAAGCCGGAAGCAAGTTGACAAAAGAGGGTGTGGTGAGCCCCTCGTCACACAGCGGTCTCCTTACAGTAAGTGCGTTGTACCGTAAGTGCCCGTTGTACTTGAGTGTGTGCACCGGGCCCGACATTGCACAGGCAGTGGGCGCGCTTACGAGCTTATGGCGGGGCCAACCGAGGAGCACTGGCGGAAGCGCTTGGAGTTGTGAACTACCTAGCGGGTACGGCAGAGGACGGGGTAACCTTTGGGGGGAGCGGAGAGACTCTCATCGCTTCTTGCGACGGATTACGCGGGTGACGTGGACACGAAGTGGCCCGCAATGGGATACGTCTTCCCAATGTACGGGGGGCGGTGAGCTGGTAGCAGGCTGCAACCAACGGTGGCGGTCTCGCTAATAGAGGCGGAGTACATGAGCGCAGCAAAAGCGGTAAAGGAGGCGTTGTGGCTCCGCAAGCTCGGGGGAGTTTTCGCCGGGACGGTCCAAATCTACTGCAACAAGGAAGTGGCAATACGGCTCCTAAAGCACCCGATCGCTTTATAGAGGTCGAAGCACATGTTGACGTGATTCATCACTTTGCACGGAAACGTGTGGCACGCAAGGAGGTTGCGTGTGCATACTGCAGGATGGAGGACATTCAAGACAAAAGCGTTTGCACTGGGGAAGTTCAAGAAGGTGCAAGGGTGTGACGGTTGGA